TGGAAAGCCATGCAACTTCACGGACAACGGCGGTGACGATGGAAGTCGTCCCTTCGGGACGGGGGATTCTTCGTTTCATCTTTCTTTCGAGTTCGTTCGCAGGATCGATCGGAGCGTGATCTCGCGCCTTTCTCCATTACGGGAAGTAACAAGCAAGAAGTTCGAGGCGGGCGAGCATTCGTATTTGGAGGCTCGCCGTTAACATCGTCGGAAAGCCGGCCGGCTCTTCAGTGGGCCAGGGCTTAGCGAAAATCGCCGGTCCGAGTTTGGCCTTCACGGACCGCGCCGAGAAAGAAGGGTCCGAAGGCGAACGAGATGAAGACACGGTAGGAGGGAGAGACGGGCGAGGTAAGGAGCGGGGGAGAAGGGGAGCCGCGAGAGAAATGCGTGGGAATTGAACCATGTGGCCGGTCGGCCGACTGGTCCGCGAAATATCACGTTGCGAAAGTGCGCGCGTGCGCACATGTAGAAATGCGCGCATAATACGCGAACGAAATACGAAAGCAGCGAGGAGTCCGCAGATCACACCGATGCACGGTGTTACACGCTATCTTTCGAGGCCACGGGGAATTTCAAAGGAAGAATCGCGCGGGATAATTAGAGGCCCCTCTTTCACGGAGCCGTTTGGCAGTAACGAGCTCCGGAGCTAAAGGCCGCCGTCGAACAAAGCTCGAGATCTAACGCAGCTGCTGTACCTCTGTCAAAATAACGCTCGAGTCGCGAAAGAATGGGATTGATATACGCGTCGGAAATCCTTTCACGCGCGATACAAGAGTACGTATCGTAATACGTTCGACGTGTGTGCACGCACGCGTTTTATCTGAGAAATGTGCACCGATAGCGCCGGTATTAAGATCGACGACGTATCTAACCCAGACCTCGGTGTTTATCTAAGGTATCTCGAGTGAGGAGATCGAACGTGCGCGCGAACTCCTGCGGATACTCACGCTGAAAAATGAGAAAGCGCTACTTTCAATATTTGCTAAGGAATGTTGGAGTAATTACTTTGTTTGCGTTAAACAAGAATCTCGCAATCAGCAAGAAAGGAGAAAAATGCAACCAGTACACGGTAAAAAACAAATGTACTTGTGTGAAAATCGGTCCTTGTTAAGAGAATTTCTGGGTTAAATTTCTCACATATCCATGTATTAATTTAACACATTGCGTTTATATTATCTTGACACTGAGTTCCGATATTCAATATGTAAGTGTTAAAATAACATAATTTACACTTCAGTGTGTCGATTAACATATCGCGGATATTAATTTTGTGTTAATATTTGACACAACTTTGCGTTAAATTAACACCGAAACATGTGTCGATTATTTCGAATATGCCTATGTTAAGTTTTCAACATCAACTTTTTTACCGTGCAATGCAAGCCACACTGGCAATGCTTTTCCGCTTGGATCGAACAAATATCACTTGAATCTAGCAACTCTTTTTCCATGCTACATTCGAATAAGACTTATCCCCATTAATCCAAGCGAAAGAATGATTCCGATGTGTACTCCTCAGCAAGTATATTCGCTTGAACACAGCACCGTTTGCTTTGAATGTACGGAGGACGAGCCGGCACGAATGCGACGAATGACACACACGTGGCCGACTACGCAACGCAGCGCGACTCGCGATCAGCGAGATCAGCTGTTAGTTCACACCGTCAATTACGAGTCACGCGACTCTCGAGGTTCTTGTCCCGACTGACACATGCGCATTGTGTGCCTACCTTTAATCGTCTCACGAGGCTGCCGTCACGCGGTTCAGCGCCTTGTTCCGGCACGTACCGGTGCAGTCCACATTCCCTGCTAAATACTCGATTAACTCTTGACCCCTGCGTGATCGCCTTGTCCGAGCGACGTTGCGCAATTTTTAGCCGGTGCTATTTTTGCACGCGCCGCCGGTACTTTATTAGCCTACCTCGTTTTCGCGTCTACGTCGCTTTCTCAACGTCTCTCGGAAGGCCGGTGGATATTTTCTGCGAGCGAACCGCGGATCCAGACGAAGGGAAATCGACGGGGAATATAAAGTTTCATTCATATGCGCGCGAATCTCGGATTTCGGAGGTGCTAAATCGCAATCCGAACGATCGTGAAATATATCTCATCGAAAGAAAAGAGTAATTAATCGGAAATATACAAAAGCCGATTTATCCCAGTTGAACGTTGATCACCGTCCGGACTGGAAGCTGACTGTGAACCCAGCGGCTATATTTCAAACGCCGAAGGTGAGATATGAATACGATCGGAACGACCATCACAGTTACTCGTATCAGCTGATACGTGACGATTACGTCAGCGCGTCTAAACGGCAGAAAAATCGCACGGTCGCTACGGCGCACGACGGGGCCGAGCGATTAAAAGCCCGGCGTGACTAGGCGGAGCGGAGCCGAGTCGATTGTGCGCGGATTTAGTTTATCCACGGCGTGGGATCGGACTTTCACATGCTAAAATTAGTTTGTCGGGCCGAAGCACGGCGATTCATAAGAGCCGGCGCGCGGCCGTTGCGTAACGTTGCCGCGCCGAGTCCCGAGATCGAGTTTTATATCGACGACGAGTCCGTTCGAGGGAGAGGGGAAATCGATACGTCGTTTCCGGTACTCCACGGAGATCAGCTGGAGCCGCACAGACGCGTTCGATCTCCCAGACGGCATCACGAGAAGCTCCGAAGCCCAGCGCTTCGGTCAAACGGTGGTAAACAGTTTCTAGATACGCACCAACGTTCCTCGTTCGGCAAGCGTAAAGAAAATTCGTCATTTCTCGACAGCCAGTATACGTGCACAAGGTCGAGCGAGAGACAAAATACGGACCAATGATTTACGGTTGTTTATAAACGAACGTCGCTGCATGCCCGCGGGTTCGACTCGCAAAAAGTTTGTATACAAGAGGCAATCGGTATTTTCTACACGTTCGCTAATAGAAATCGGTAAGGCGTTCGTTTTCTCCGGGAGGGAAATTATGCAATAAAAATATCTTGCAAAGCAAAAGGTCATGCAGTAGTAGTCCTATGGTTTAGTCGCATCGTTCCTTTTCTCCGATACCGGCAAAGTTACCGAATGATTCCGTCGTATCCGTTCGTAATCGCCAAGTTACGAGATCGTCCGAGGGGTGTATCATCAGTGCAACCCTCCCGATACCGGCATATTATCCCTAACGGTACTCCGCTCGGACCAGAACTGCAATCGAACGAAATCCGTATACTCGACGCGACGACCCAACGATTCGAAATTGTCACGTATCGGTTGAGCGCGTCGCAGGAGTTCTCAAAGTTTGACGTTCGAAGGGAGGCAGGAAGGTCGCAAGGTGGCACAGGGTGATTCACTCTTGCAATTCCGACGGCATGTCTCTTCTCGTCTCGTGCAAGAGTGCGACGTAAGATTGACTTCGTATACGCACGCCACATCTCACGCACATCACGGACGAAGCGAGAGTCTCGCAAATTTGGATGCATGGATGCTCTCATGATAACGATGATAAGAATGATAAAAAAAAAATAGAAGAAATACACTCTGCGACTGATAATGAGACACATCGCTCATACAATATAATGATAAGCAGTCGTGCAATCGAAACTCGAACGAATCGTCATGCAATATTCGTCGACTATTCGCGAGAGAAACGCGCGAAATTGGGTTCGCGCGTTTGATGAGCTTCGCATGAGAATGAATCAACTTCGATGAGACGTAAATGCGAGTGTGAATACTTCGCACGGAAAAAACAATTCAGTTCGTGTAACTGAATTTCGGTTACAACAACCGAAATTTTCTGTTTTCTGGGGACCAGGTGAAAACTCGGTCACAGTTTAACTACATACAGTTGCGAGAGTAGCTGTCGGCTTCTTTGACGTCAGTGGTCATCGCTCACGTGACTGTCAGCCATGTTGTGGATTTTACGGGCGCTGAATTTGAACGACGTCAAGAGACGCGGTGTTTCGCGTAAAGTAGTTGTAAAATTCAGAGTAATCCTGTATATGATTGTATCTACACTATCTATCTATCTATATTATAGTATCTATAGTTCCCCGAACTAAAAGCATTTGTTGATGTAAGCAGTCCTCCGACCGGTGGCAAAAGGCTACATGTAACCGAAGCTCAATTAACCGAATAATTTCGGTTGCCGTAACCGAGTAAATTTCTTTTCCGTGCGTGATTCGGTTTCGAGAGAAGAATTTCACGCGCGGGCGGAATATCATTACGGAGACTTGACTTCTCGCGTGGTAATATTTGTTCCCGCGTCGAGAGACATGCAAGTATGTAACGATTGTGCATTCCTTCTAAAGTATCCATGGAAGGACGAGTGAGTACGAAGCGATGAATGGATATGATCGTTATTACTCGAAGCTCCATCGACTCTTCCTCCAGCACAGGTAAGACTTTATTGGAGGAAGCGGTTTTTCGGTTCTTACAGTGATATTCATGTCAAATGAACAAGCGACTCAAGCTACGGAGGTATATGACGATGACGATTTGTCGCATGGATACACAATTCTCATTTTCAACCCGGGACGGGTCGGTCACACAACTCTTGCGATACGACACTAAGTGTGCCCTCACACATTCTCGTATCGGCACACTCGTGCGAGAGATCAAGTACGAGAAGCTAATGCACCAGAGGTACAATGTACAGAAAACGTACGTAATCTTTAGCCTTGGACCAGAGTCGCGGTGTGTGTACGTCTGCGTTTATGTGTACTCGACATGTTTTTTTTAAATTTTCTCGAAAGAAAGAAACTAATAAAACAACTCGAGCTTAACAACGATCGCTCATCATATATTGAAAGATGAGAGCTAGTTACATGCGCATCGCTCATTATTACGTATATCATACGTTCGCTCGACGATAAATCACCCCGTGTTATTGAAAAAGAAAAAAAGAAATGGAATATTTTTAATATTCTTATCGTGGCACCAACAGATAATGACTTCACGATTCGAAATTCGCGCTCGAGTTTCGCTCACGACTCCGGTCGGGCCAATGTGAAGAAATCAAACGAGACAGACCTTAGACAATTTCTCGCCCTCGTGATGTGGCAGCAATGACCTCAGGGACTGGAATCCAGCGTTGATGCTCTGCATACGACGTCGCTCGTTGCTGTTGGCGATTTCTCGCCGCATTCGCTTCTCCTGCTCCATGTGGCTGCGCGGCGTGAGACGGCCGATGTTGTTGTTGTTGATACCGTTGCCGTTGCTCAGCGCAACGTTCTGACTAGCAACCCTCCGGCTGGCACTAACGCTACCCTTGGATTGCTGCTGCGATTGCTCCGAAGTGTCTACGACCGCGGCGACCGTCACACCGGTGGTCACCGAGCCGTCGTCAACCGTCTCAACGCTACTATAACATACAATACATCATAAATGAAACTTTCATGTATAACATCCCGGAATGTTGACGAACGTTTTGCCTTAGGATTTAAAAAAAATGTGAAAAAAATGTGACGGTAACGCGGTTTAATATAGAATTACTCTATTTCTCTTCCAAAGCCAGAAATCATTTTTCACAGAGTTACATTAAACCTAGAATGTTAACCTTTACTTTGAATACCTACGCTACTAACTACGTCTTGAAGACGTGTAGCGACTAATGTGCTTATTCCGTTTCTTAAATATTTCTTTGGTCTCATTTTTTTTCCCAAAAGTAACGAATAAATCTGTAACGTCTCCAAATAATGATAAATCATAGAGCAATCGATAATATGCTATATTTTGTAATAATAGCAACCTTTAATTGAGGCTTAAAATCCAAGGTGATCGTTTACGAAAAAAAAAAAAAATGACTATTTCCAAGTTGAATATGGTTTTTATTATCATTTTCTATTTCAGCACACAAATATAAATAGAAAATATGAAGATTCAAGGATACAATATATGATATGAAGAAATTCAATGTTATCGGTAATCCGTCGACCTTCTTGCACATGCAATTCTTTTTAGTATGACGTATGGATCTCTTGAAAACCTTGTTACTTGAACTGTACTGTAATACATATTTAAATGTCGATTTATCAGTTATCTCAGCAGCGGTCAGCAACACGTATTATCGTTATGAAAAAGAGAGAAAGAAAGAGAGAGAGAGAGAGAGACAGAGAGACGTGTCGACGCCGACACTCCCGTAGGATGATAAGCGGCTGCAGCAAAGTATTTCGGTACGACTATCAAAGAGATACGGCCGAAATCGAAAACGACGCGGACAAGAGACGAGAAACGACACCGACGCGTACGTTTGACGGCCATGAAACCGGTCCCCGTCTCGCTGCCTTTTCCGCCGCGCGGTACATCGCGGGGGCTTTCAACGAAATTAAAAGTTAGGTGCCGTGGCGCCTCTTCCTCCTCTTTTTTTTCGCCGCACTGTTTTTACTTCGCCGAACGCGCGACGACGGAAACGTTGCGGACGGTTGAATTCGCGGTCAATGAAGCGAGACACCGTTGACGCTGCCCGACGGCTGCGTTAAACGCTTGGCTCGCTACCGACCGCTTGCACACATGGCGAACACCTCCCTCTCGCCCCGTTTTTATATAGAACGGACTGGATAAAGAGAGATATATAATATTTATTCTTTGTAATTTTTCCTGTTAAAGAACGGCGTATGTATTAACAGAATTAGGTCTTTCTTGACTGAGCTCCGGGCTTTGAGAAGTGCCCTCACAGCCATCCTTCGATGGTCACGCATAAGATTCATCATCGTATGCGGATCGGCTGTCCGCACGCTACAATGTCATGTAAATATAAACTTTGGTCGAAGCGTGAATATAAAATATTTGTTAATCGTGTGTGTGTGTGTGTGTGTGTGTGAGTGCCCGGACATTTCATTCATCTTTACTGCGCTCGTGAGATAATCACCGTCAAAGATAAGGGCAACTGGAGTTTGTAGACGTGTGTGTGTGTGTGTGTCGAGCACGATTTTATATTTCACGATAAACATCGTTAATTTTACAAGCATGCAAAATATCACATGATCTCATCGACTTTCGTCGTATCGGATAACGTTTCGTTGAATCTATATGTTACCGGTTCTCTCTTCATAAATGAGAATTCGCTATCGCATCATCTTGACAAGGATTCGTTAAATCATTGAGGTTTAAGATCCGCGAAAATTGGCGCGAAGGTTTTGGAACGAGAAGTTACATCGAGAGATAGCGTTGCAGGTGAAGTTACTCGTGTTCGATCTGGAATTCATATTCGCGTTAAAATTAACGCGACATTTCCGTTCCTGAAATTCATCGAAGCTAGACTGCCGTCGTTAGTCGTGTCCCATCACGCGCCGTACTCCGCTCTCTTATAAATAAGTTAGCGAAGTGCTTAATAATGCACTGATCGTTCCGCGGAATCGCAGAGTANAAAAGGGGGGGGGGGGGAAATGGCTGGAAAATTATACGGTAACGAGGCAGCGGTAGGGAAAGCAACGGGAGAAAGAGAGCCACAAGGCGGTGGCAGATCGAGATGGCGGATATGCCGTCGTAGATGACTCAGCAGGGAAGACCGTGACCTTGCTCTTTGCTCCGAAACAGTCGTTCGGCACGTGTCTATATCACGTGCCAACGTGAAGGCTGTCTCTTCTGTAAAACGATATCGTGAACTCATATCTCCGGCTACGGCACGATATTCCCCAGCGACAGATTTCTCCTACCGCAATTAATACCGTACATTTCACATAATGCAAATCCCTTCGAGTAATCGTGAAATCAAATCGAAAGCAAATTATTTCGTAAATAGTGGGTTATTAATTTATATCTCCCTTCCGCTCGACTCGCGTCTGTTTCTTAAAATCGTACAATGGTGCAGTTAATCCTGAAAGTGCCGACGTAAAATAGATAAAAAGATTCGCGCGGAATATCGACGAGGACGCTCTTAAAGACGAAGATAAAGACGCGGTGGAAATTGTTTTACGACCGAGCCGTCAACAGCAAAATAGGTTGTAAAATTACATGAAAAAAAAAAAGAAAAAAGAAACAACAGAAGTATCTTGAAATCTCTCGGAAATGCCTCGTGCCGGGCGCGCGCGCGCCACGGTCGGCAATTTTCCTCCGACGGGAATATTAACGGTCACTCATTCGTAGGTGTCACTCAAACAGCGCGTAACCGTAGGCATAATCGTACATCATGCGTGAGATGAGACACCCTTGGCCACGGCCGTCAATCAAGCATTTTACAATAGCCGAAGCGTGGCCATGTTATTCGCGATCTCTTGTTATTCGCTCGCCGGCTCCTCCATCGGTGTGTCCTCGAAAGCGATCTCTTTCGCAACGTCGCGACGCGTCTCGCCCGCCGATTCATAAATCGAGGCGAGCGAAGTGTGACGATGACGCGATCAGGTGGTCCCGATGAGGTCACTCACGTTTTGCATTAATTCCGGCGACGTGGTCTCATCGTCGTCATCGCAAACGTGTCGTTGCAATGGCCGTCGCACGCTCAGCGCGTTATCGTCGTTTTCGCGAACGCCTGTTTCGCGCCGATCCGCGAGGATTAGAATCGACGAGAGTCTCGCGCGCGCGCGCGCGCGCTGCATTCATCGGCGATCATTCATAACGGCACGTGGTCCACGGGACCAGAAATCCACGTGGCGCACTCTCATCGAGTGGTTATATTAGATCAGCTGGTACGCCGGCGGCTTGCTGGCTGGCTGGATGGTTGGCTGTCGTGACGTCAGCTCGTTCGTTCGCCGGATACCCGCAGAGCTCAGCCAGATCAGTTGCGGCGAAGTAGGTCGGCGAGCTGGACGGGGCTACCTCTTCCTTTTCACCCTGAAATCCCGCCGCCGTACGAGGGGAAGCGCGCGCGTTTCTTCGCTTCCTCGTTCACGTTCGACCGAAATTTCCGACCAAAAAATCCAGATTTCGGCCGAAATTCGCAAAAGAGCCGGCATAAATCGAAATTACACAGGGTGGGGCATTGTAATTGAGACCCCTTAATATAACATAAATAAAGTAAAAAAAAAAAAAGAAACGTTTCAGGCAAAGTTGCAGGGTTGGAAGGGGACATATTTTGACGACCATAATTTCATTGTATTGCCAATAATTCGAGGTCATTTCAGGGTTCATTTTTTTTACGGAATTATATAGTTTTCTTTTTGTACAAATCGATTTATCTGTTCATTCCGCGTATAAAATTGCTAGGGTGAAATCATCGGAAAGTGAATACTTCAAATCACCATAGGGCAGGAGAAAAATTTTAATTCGAACCAGAGTTTCGAAACGTTAAATGTAAAGGTATCGAATTAATTTGCACATTCCTAATATAAGCTTAGTAATTAGTAATATTGATTTGGATTTATAATTGTTTAAAAGGTTAGGTGATAATATCAGCTGTAAAGCTGTTATCTAGCCTTTTGGCCACCCAACAGCACTTTCCCTATGACTTCTTCAAACGCTATATATATATAATGTATGATAAGTCGACCAACTAATAAAGTATTATTATTATTGCCATTTCCTGACTCTTTCGTATATTGTTACTTCACAACGGTCGATCGGATTTCCGCGTAATCCCTCCGTCCCTTACAAATCTTTTCGTCGCTGTTCACCTCGCAATATTTTCTTACGAGGCAATTATGATCCGCGATTGTTGATCGCGCGTCGGCTCATACCAGCACGATAACCGGCAGTCAAACTCGCAAGAGAGATAATTTCTTAGACGATAACGTTCGATGAGCTGCACGTGACGCTGATCACATTAAACTATCCCCGACAGAGAGCACGCAATTTCTATTACCGTCCCGCCGGTATTACGTGCAGCAACGCCAAAGATTATCTCCTCGGGATCGAGGCACGACGGAAAAAGCGCTTAAGGCTAATTTCTCCCAACACAGCAGACGAGCGTCCATCGATCAGTCGACCATATGGCACATCGAATCAGCCAACACGCGTAATAACGTTGCGCCTCCACACATTTCTCTCCCCCTCTCTCTCTGCTTCTTCGCCGGCGAATGAGTACACTTTGGAGGACATCCGCCGGTCGCGATTACTTCTAATTATAGACGCGTCGGCGCGTTGACGGGCGATGACGACCGACCCGGATAAAAAAGAGGAAAAAAAAAATAACACAGGAGGCGGCGAAACGGAGAGAAGGGACGAGCAACGACGACAACGATCGAGTGTTACCTGAACCGCTCGTGGCTTCTTCGTGGTGCAGGTGTACTCTCCATGGTTCACCCTGTCGACGCGCGGAAAAAGCATGGAAGCGCGTCGTGCGCGTGTGTGTATGTATGCAGGCGTATTCTGGCGCACGCGCGCTAGTATTGGTGTATACGGGCGCGACTGTGTATCCGCGGNCTCTCTCTCTCTCTCTCTCTCTCTCTCTCTCTCTCTCTCTCTCTCTCTCTCTCTCTCTCTCTTTCG